GCGTACGAGGCTCTGTCTTCGGGAGCATACTTCGACCTGTAGTTGTCTTCGGGTGTGTAGTGCGACGCTTCGGTTTTGCCAGCAGCGTACGTCCAGTCGTTGCCCTCTTTCGGAGCATAGCTCGACGCATCCTTTTGCGCGGGAGTGTAGGTCGAGCCGTAGCTCTCTTCGGGAGCGCGGCTGCCCGCTTTAGCTTGCTCAGGATTATTATTTGAGCCGAACCTCCCTTGGGGAGCATAGGTAGACACCTGATGGCCCTCGGGTGTATGCGTTGGCCCACTGGCAGACAGGGGAGTGTAGTTTGAGTCGAAAGTCCCCGCGGGCTTGTAGGCCGGATAGTATGGCTCTGCAGGGTTATAGGTTGACATAATTGCCTCCTCAGGAATGTGGGTCGAGACGTAGTTGTCTTCGGGGTAATATGGCGACTCGTTTGTGTACTGAGGAGAATGGTTCCAGGGGTAGCTCTCCTCAGGAGGATGGACAGAGACGTAATTCTGGTCGGGCACATCGCTTGGGACGTAAGCATCCTGGGGAACGTAGGAGGGCGCGTACGCCTCCTCGGCACTGTAGGTCGGCGCGTACTCCTCTGGAGTGTAGTACGACACATATACCTCAGGAGACCATGCAGATTGGGGTCCGTACTCTTGATATGCACCAGACTGCCCTGGCTCGAAACCGTAGGGCGACTGCGCGGCGCAGCTCGCTGCCAGGCATACTAAGCCGAGTAAACCCTGAAATGAAGCACATGCGTTCACGGGCGCACATCGTATCACCCGATGATATGGAGAGACTCGTGTGAAGTGAAATGCGTTAAGCTTTGCCAGATATGGTAGCCGCATGGTCTCCGACAGTCTAAGGGATTTACTTTTCGCTTGCAAATCGTATACATAATGGGCAAAGTAACGGGAGAGCGCTATCCACGTCTGTCGTCTGGAACATTCACTGGCATGATCTGTATTAGCTGAGAAGATATACAAGCTGCTTTCTTCAATGGGTAATTTCGATGTGTCAGTTCAACTTATGTTGTGCTTCTTTCGTATAGTGTTTCCGGGTTATGATGTTTCATAAGCAGGAGGATGAGTTAAATCACGGAGAACGCCACCATTCACTTTCGGTACATAGAAAAAGGTGGTCTGAGGTCATTCCGAGAACAATTATGACATTTGCCTCGACTGAGTCTAAAGTTTTGTGGTTCAATGTGAAAATCATTTGGTAGTGTGGAGGAAGGTCTCGTGGCCAAGTTGGCACTCATTGAGCAAGTTCGTTATTCATTTTGTCATGATTTTTAAAAGGTTTTGGCGATCGGAACACATTTGGTTCACATCAAGGATTCTCAAAATGCCAGGCGGCTATACAATGAACATCATAGTGCTAACACAATTTAATTGTTGGATGTGCTGGATGATGTAACAGCAGCAAGTGAAAGCAATCCACCCAAAGAAGTATTTTTGAGTGAGACATATTGATTGTCTGAAATATCATCAAACCAGATTAATTCTTAATGTCTTGCGGATTATGGTCTACTTGCAACAGCATTTCTGAAAAGCTTCGGCGTTGTGCACGATGCATGTGAGGTGGGTACGGGAAAGTAATACTTTTAATGTGGACATGTTTTAGTTAATAACGTGATGTGAATTGTAAAAGTGTCCATATTTCAGTTGACTGAGATTTCTTAAGATTGAAATATTATTAAGTAGACTCCACCTTTTCCGTTCGCTCTAGGAGAAATAAGATCGAAGAGAGTGATTCGTAATCCCAATCGCCTAGCACCATCAAGTCAATTAGCCAGGGCAGGAACGGCAACGGCGTGACGTACCCATTGGCTGGAAGATATGCCATTGTAACTATGGGGTCCTTCCTAATCCAGTTCACGTCGGTGCGAATCTTGTCGTTACATGCCATATCATATAAGCTATGAGATGACTCCAAGCCGCGAGTGTTTATCAATCTAACTTCCGTGAACAAACGTTGATGAACGCATATCATGCATCCTCATGGGTCACACGGTGGCATGAAATTGTCTTAATTGACTTTGCAATGCAAATGGCGGTATGAAGATTTGGTGTTAGTCAGTTTCTGCTAGCATTTGAAACCTGCATTCATATGACAAAAGGGTTAGTTCTGCGTGTTGAAATAGATCTGGCGAATTAACAATAATGTATGCATTATAATTGCATGACGACCGTTTGTAGTATCATGGCATAGTGCTATGCTTTCTAACTCGAGCACACAAATGTGGAATCGGCAGAAGTTCGCATCAACAGTGACAACATAAACCATAACCCTATAAGAAGCAGCGGGGATGCATGGGCGACTGACCGATGGCTTCCTTACCTTCATGTTTGCTTGTTGCAGTGCAGCACGCCTGTTGCAAACTCGTCGACTAGTCCTCGGGCTATCCTGGAGCCGCGCTTTCTGGCATCTCACCAGCGCAGCCGCTTCTTTATACCAATAAACCTCGCGTGGTTCGTGCCACAGCTGGAGAGCCTGGCCGCCTCCCAAATTGCACGGGGTAGGCGCGATCTGCGATCAATGAAGATAGAGGAACGGTGCAGGCGGCAACGCTCAGCGCTCACGGACCTGGGCGACCAGCTTCCGGCGAAGCTCTCTAATTTGCCGTTGCAACAGCTGTAACGGTCATGATGCAATTCGCATAACAGTGTACAGCTGGACGCACTCGACCCCGGCCAGCTTCCTGGGATAGTCACCCGTTATCCGGTCACGGTATCCAGCCTACCAACTGGACTTCTGGATTGACTGCGTGACGCGGACATCCCGTTTGCCGCACAGAAGTGTGACGTCACATCGGCCGGCGGCATGGTCCCGTTTGCCGCACAGAAGTGTGACGTCATAGCGGCCGGCGGCGTAAGTTGCCGGGCTGAGTGAATGGCAGTGCTCGTTGAATGGCAATGAATGGCAGCAGCTCGTTGCTGCTTACCAACGCAAGATGGCATGCTCATCGCAGGTAACGCTGTCAATATGCACTGCATTGGATCGGTATTGCATTGAGAGGATGAACAAACGGGACAGGGTGATAATGGACAGGGTCGCACACCTTTAGCTGAGATGCATGACTTTCCAAACCAATCGTTCTAACGCTGCAGGTGCCTCCTTCCCGTTTGCTTTTTTAGTTCGGACTCGAAGGCTAATCTTCTGCTCTTGTTGATATTCCTAACAGCCATTGGTATTGCTATGTATGCCTTCGGAGAGTCGGAGCCCCTTCCCCAGCGCTCTTCTGACCCCGCCCCCCCCCCCCCCGCCCCCCATGCGTATGAGCAAAAAGGGAATACCAGGCCAATGAAATGCGGCAAGTGCCTGAAGTACGGGCACACTAGATACCTAAACGTATCACTATCAATATCATTGGCATCATATACCATTATTATCATCATCAGATCAGCTAAAATGGGAATGCACTCAACATAAAAAATTGGAACTGACCAAACGCTTCTTGTTTTAATTCTGATATCAGAAATGCAACTTAAGTGGCCGAAATCCGGGGGCGGGGGAGATCAGCACTTGGAGGCAGGCAAGGTCAGCCTCATCGGCTCATCTCCGCGATTGATTTGAGAAAGTGACACCCACTGCCAACAGCACGCCCGATAATGCAATTACGCCCAATTCCTCATCAGGACATCTTCCTACCAGCATTTACCGATGAACCTCTGCGACGAGACGACGAAAAGTGGATGAGCATGATCGAAATTTCCATTATTCCTGAAGCATGCGGTTTTCCTGTCAGCCGAGATCGTCTGAAGGCGTCACCGCCTACGCGCTAGCAGGATTCCTCCTGATAACCGTAATCATCCATAAAGCCTAAGGGTCATTTGACGCCAACTGGGAGACTGCTTTGATGACAGACTTTTGCCCATCCACCGGCCACCAGTGTCAATGGGGAGTCAAGGGCATTGTGATCTTTAGGTACAGCATTGAGCGGACAGATCGGATTCTCTGTAAGTTGCGTGGATTTCCGGCGGGACTGGGAGAATTTTTCCTGGCGGTTACGCCACCTTTACCCCGGTCAGGTGGGAGGTAGTGTTCTGAGTTTGTTAATTTCATCAGCTTCGTCGTATCTGGGCAATTGTCACTGGCGCAATAAGGCTTATCCCACAAAAAACAGCATGGTAAATATTGGACAATGTAGGGATAAATGCTCCGTGCCCACTCCTTCTTAAACTAGAGAGGCGTGGTAATTGTCTCTGCGGTATCTGCCGTCTGCATAAACTTATAAAGTTCACCACAACACGTAACACCATTTCCGGCTGTCTGACCAAACACATCTGTGGGCTACCACGGCGGTGCGCCGGACAGGTCGCGCGGCCGAGGCCCAGCAGCACTCTCCGCACCGTTCGCGCCAGGGGCGGGGTCGCCCGGCACCCGGACCACTCCGCCGTTGCTGCACGCTCGCTGAGCGCCGGCAGGACGCAGCGGGGTCTGGGTTGGAACCGGCGGCTGCCGTGAACGGCCCGGACTCGCTGTCTGGTGGGCGCCGCGCGCGCCATGGCACCGGATACAGCGCGTATCCGGTGCCATGATACTGCAGACGCCCGCTGTTCCGAACGGCGATGATTGCTTTAAAACGCGGGAGGACGCGGGGCTCGACACCGGAAGTCGGTTCTGAGAGTTCTCGGTGTCCTGGGCGCACTGATCGATGCCCATTCACGCTAGACCGTATCATCGAGCGCAATCGCTGAAGGCGACCGGGACAACAGAGCATTGGGGTAAGTTCACAATATCGCACCATTTATTGCGAAACCAAGCCTACGGAGGGCTGCTATCTCTGGTGCTCCAATCTTCAGCTGGCAGTGGGGAGATGCGTAATCCTCTTACTTCCCAACCACAGGAACAATGTTGGGATTGGAAGTGAAATCACTAAAAATAAAAACAAAGCGAAAAACCGCAGCACCACAAGGATTGTTCATGCTTTAGGGAAACATTCATTAATATCACATCCGGTTGCATCTGCTCGTTTGTCTTTGTTGCAATTTTGCAGTTTTTACACTCTAATGCGAGTATAGCGTGTATGCGACTGTAACGGGACGGAAATAGTTATCGGGTACAGTATTCCGTACCCGCGTCAATTTATTGCCCGCATTGTACAACACCAAACCAGTCCTGATGTGAGATCATCACACAACACCAGAAACAGCGACCCCAAAAGAAAGCCGATTCCACACGTCAACACTGGAACCAAGCCAACCATTCGCGAATAATGGTATCACCGAACTCTTGCCCAGAACACGAGACATGCGATGCTTCCATCCGATCTTCAAACATCGTGCCAGGCTACTACATCCTCGAGATATCGTCCAGCACCCTCCATCGGTGCATCAAAACGTCGGCAATCGCAAGGGGCGCACTTAAACTGAGCACGACGCCACTGTCCCCGCGCGTCGCACGCCACGCTATCACAGTGCTCAGATCCAGCGCAGGAGCCACGTGGGAGGAAGCTCGTCACAAGTAACCACTGGCGGGAAGCATGCGCCGACTAACACCTCCACATCACCAAGGACTGCATATGACGCCAACGCGACCTCCCTTCGAAATCTGCAGTCGGTAGCGTTTTCCGCTTTAGTGCGGAACCGGTGCATTTTCGATGATTGAAGCACCCAGCCGATCTGAACGAATGCAGGAACACAAACTGCCGACGCCCCTCACCGCGCGGCAGGCAACGATTTACATGGGATGATAAACGACACTCTCGAATTCCTAAATAAATACTACCCGTAACGCTAGGGAACGACAACACCAGTTCCAACACCGTGGAGACGGACCCAACAACAGCATTGACTAATCCTGGCGGCTGAGGGTACACCGGCACTGCGCAACTGGCCCAACAGATGTCACCACAACACCCACGGTGGCTGTTTTCTCTCGTGTATATGGTACATGCTGGCATTGATAGGAATATTGATCACAGCATGGCTTAGATGTAGTCGTCCCAGAGTCTCCATGATCATATACCTGCGTAACAGAAAGCAACATCAGTAAGTAATGATGCACAGTCACACTATCACGACAAAAGATTGGCAGCGCCCCATCGTCGTCATTGGGGCTTCACAACGCAGTCAGCTGCTGAGGCTTCGTAGCGTCGCCTGCCTCTCACCGCGGCAGGGAGGACGGCAACCGTAGGGAATCAAACCCCCTACCTCTGGTTTCCCAGACGCGCAGTAGCTAACGCAGACCGGGACAGCAGACAGCTGGCAGGACTGTGTCAACAGCTCACACAGTGCCTGGGCAGTTGTCCCATGACGCACCAAAACAGAATGACGCACCAAACAGATACACAAGTATATGACGCACCAAACAGAAGCACAAAAAGCCTTTATGCTTTGGGCAGGTGCAGCTTTAGTAAGTCACTTACATCGAGGATGATATGACCTAGCGATATAGCCAAATATATCCAGATAAAATCAGTCAATCGTCTCAGCCGCATATCCGTTTTCGCCGAGGACAAAAACGGCAGCAATGATGTGTTGTAAGTCGCATCGGCGTGACTAACCAAATTGTCTCAGCTGCACTTACCCGTTTTTTCCCAGGAGAAAGGCAGCAGGAATCGTGGGTTTCAGCTGTTCACTATCCGAGGTCATTTCAATGAAGTGCTCCACGTTGTCCCGATCATCGTCAAACACAACAGCGGCTCGCGCGCCGCACCTCTGCGCGTTCATCACCTTCACCACGAAAGGACAGTCCCTGCAATGGAGAGCGCCGTATGAAAAGCGTCATGGCATAACACGGAATTGGGTAAAGGAAATGACAAGTAGCTTGCTAATGGAGGAATGGTGCTGGACGAATCAGCTTTTATCCCACTATTGTGCTTCCACACGGACAGCACATTCTGTAGCTATCATTCGTAAAATATTTAACAGGAATGACTAGGAACAGCAGTTAACAGCTGAAAATGCATTACAAAAATGAAGAAAAAACATTTCCTCTTTTTTACAAACATAACTAAACAATTTTTTGGTATGCCTCAAGCCTTTCGTCCTTTGCCATAAAAAGTGCAACGTAATTATCAACAAGCAGAGTGAAAACTTGCGGGCCTCTATTGTGCATTGTAGCATACTGAACAATAATAAAGCATGTCCAGCAAAACTTGAAGATGGCACAGCTTCATAGGGCACTGGGCTGGGATCCCATCTTCAGCCGTACTCACCCTCTTTGAATGAAGGCAACCGCACCCTCGACGTCCTCACAATTGTCAAGGGGCTCGCAAGCGAACGCCGGCTCCGCGGGCACCAGGCGGGCGCTCATCAACGTGAAGTTGAAAGGCACACCAAAGTCCCGTGTCACTTGAATCAAGTATGTGTACTGCAGCGAAGGCGGCGATACAATCTCGAAGAACACATCCTCCATAGCAAACATGGCACTGTAGTGGTTGAATGTGCTGATGCGTTCCAACTGACCTGCAGCAAGGATAGTGTATTGGTTAAGTGGCACATGTGACCATCACAGATACAGGATGTAGTGCAGAGTTTCCCTACATCATCTAATCAGGCAGGTGCCATATATACATGCTTCAGGTGATGTCATGAGGTTAGAGGGCTGTTCCAGCCCTCCCATGAAGCCCTGCCTGGTCATTGTAGCAGCATCAGTGGTCCTGTCATTTAAATTGTTTGGCACCCAGTTAAATGCTTTGCATACCCCTCCTCCCCCTGAAGTAGTTCCCCATATAATCTGTCTGCACTCCAGGGATCCAATCCTGGTAACTTTTCAGCATGGACTGTTCATCTATGCTAATTCTGGGATAACTGTTGTGCTCATCTCACAAATATCACCACAATATTGGTTAGTTGCTGTGCAGCACAAAATTTTTGTTCAAAAGATGCCTTCAAGCTGTCAGTCATAGACAATTTGACATAAAAGTCACATGTTTCTGAAATGCTGTGCTTGAATTATCTGGCAGTGTAGCCACATGCCATCCCAGCATGGAATTATTGCATGCTTATGTGATGTATGCACACTAAATCTGGAGATGAGCTGCACATAACTCAGGCTAGGCCAAATTGAGCTAAATTTTACAGATGTTGTGGGTATATGTTTGCTTGTGATCACCAATCAAATATAATCCCTTGATTCATTTGATCTCTCTGCCCTAAAATTTCCACCCACCATACATTACAAAAATTTTAGCTTGTGGCATTTAGATGTGTGTCTGTGTCATTGGGGCTTTACGACGCACTCAGCTACTGAGGCTATATGGCATCGCCTGCCTCTCACCCTGGCGGGAAGGGCGGCACCGCAGGGAATCACCCCTGGTTTCCCAGACACGCAGTAGCTAACGTGGACACGCTAATCACTACACTACAGACACCCTGTGGCATTTAGGTGAAGTGTGCATGCTCGTAGGTTCTTACAGTGCACAACATACAAGTTGACTTGTTGCCAGGATGTGATACTGGAGATGTTCTGCACCATGCAATTTTTGGAGCCTGGCCTGTTTATGTTGTGAAAACAGCTGATAAAAGACCACAATGGTTTACACTACACCTGAGCATGTCACACAATACAAAACCTCTCCCATTATACCTTGGTGACACTCATTTCCAAGATATCCAAACTCAATTTGTAACAAAGTTCATGGATAGACTACAAGGTACATGGCATAACCAACTAATAATTCTGTCATTCACACTAATTAGGCATTGATAGAAACATCAGATGCATGGAAACACCACATTTCACCACCGGATTGCAACTGTGAAGCACAAAACAGCGCACAGTAAACATGTCATCCTTTGCATGACCACTGGAACAAGAAGGGTCAGATCTAAGACTCACCTGCATCCTTACTACACAGAATGTGACAAACCAGGTTTAGCAGAGCCAACTCTATGGCGTAAATGACCCCCGTGTATTTTCTTAACATGTTACCAACCACAAACGTCCTGCAATTTCCAGGGATCAGCCACTTAAAGGCACGCACGCCTACGACGTTTGGCTCCTACACGGAAATTGCGCTACACCCCAGTGTCGTCTCATACCCTAACACTTGGTCCGATCGTCCGACCCCTTATATTTTTTAGAGCTGTCCTTTTGGTGTATGAAACAAATGCGTCAGAAATGAAGTGATACGTTAGCATAATTACTGCTGTTTTTACGTAAGTGATCTGGTTTTTGCAAGAGTTCTTAATTTTATTTGGTATCTAATTTTGATGACAAATATTAAAAAAGGACATGCATGCCCCGAGTAACATGACGGATATTTTGGTTTTTAATTTCAAAAAGATTACTTATACCAACTGCCATGTCGGCAAACCTTGCGCAAATATTACATATGGAAACTCTCATTTCACTTGGGACTGTATGGGGGATTACAGCGGTGTATAGTAACATTGTGCATATGCTTTTTATCGCCAAAAAACTAACTGATGAAATGATTTATCGTTTTAAAATTCATGATGTTGCCGTCTTGTTTGTTTTAAACGCTCAAGTCTTCCTGTTACATTTGTATCATAAAGGACCCTCGTAATATTAATCTGTTGCTGTTGTAGATCGATGCTTTATTTTACCTCAGTGATCTCTGTTTTCAGGCCACATATTTCCACAAAAAGGATCAGCTGGCACAGGAAATGATGGACGATTCAGGTACATGCTATGTGTTGAGCTCTGGTATTGCTCTGCTTCTTTTCACACTATCAGCTTGGTTGCCTATGAAAAAGTGATGTATTTTGTTGCAATCTTTTTTCACTGTATTGTGCATGAAACAACCTAAATCCATTAGATACCTGCCCTTTTTCCCATAGTTTCTATTTTCAACTTAGCTTTGCCAACATGTCATGGAGACAGCATTATTGCTTGTGATTTCCATTACAAGATTGGCATAGTTCACAGCTGTCATGATATTGACTGAGATGCGGTCTATGTTGTGAGAATATGGAAAAGTGAGAATTTTGCATCCTGCACCTAGAAATATTATTGTTCCTCTTCTTCAGTGGTGTGCTTCTATATGTTTTAATACAGGATTTGCATTTTGTGAGTCATCATGTATATTGCACCAATTTTTTTTTCATTGTTGCCACTGGTGTAAGCTTTGTTGACTTCTATGTAATGTCTTGGCCATCAATTCTGTGGCACTTTTATGCATCATCTAAGGTAATTGCTGACTTTTATGTGTTATCTTGTCTTTCAGCCATTTCAGCTATACAGCAATCCTTTACAAATACTGTGGAGGCAGACCCTGAAATTTCTATTGCATTTGCAGCCATCAAAACTCTGCTGAAAGATCTTGAAACACATGAAGGTAAGAGATGTTGGTGAGTTACATGAATGAAAGGAAAGGTTCTGATGTATCTTATTTCATTCTGAACAAAGTATGCACAGCTTATTTAGGTTCTATAGCAGAGTAGTTCAAGAATACCCTGTTGCTGCAGTATTGTGGCAAGATGATGATATGGTGTCTGGAGAGCAAGATGCATTCCTGAACTGAATTGTATATCCATCTGGCTGGTGAAATTTAGCCACACTGTCAGAGCATTGCTATTGGTATTTATGATGATCGTGAAAATCATGATGCTGAACATGCTTTTCATGCCATGTATGCATATTTAAGCTGACTCATCATAAATGTATCCCATTTTAAATTGGAATTTTTCAATCAAACTGACAAAATCACATGTCACTATTTGTGGTCAAGAGACATGCATGCAGCATGCAAGTCATGCACACAGAGCCATGCAAGAGGCATATGCACATGCATATAGTTCCTATGTAGCTCTTCCATTTGTGGTTACAAGGAACATGAGACAGCCACATATGGCCAGAAAGAGTCGGTAGGCTTGAGCTGCATTTTTATCCTGATTTCTTCGGTTGATGTCAAAGATCAAATAATTGATCATGTGGTACATTTTTGTGTTGTTGCAATCATTTCCCCTCCCCACTTAAAAGAGGACAGACTGGAAGCAGTTTCAATTTTCAACAGCCAGGTGTCACAGTTACATTGGACTGGCAGAGCAGACAACTGACATCCATTCTAATGACTGGGGATGTCCATGTATGCATGCCATAATGTACTGTCATGTGCAGCTCATGGATCTGTCCGTGATGAGATATTGTTGAGGATTTGTATCAGATAACAGTGTGGGGGGGGGGGAGGTGTGAAGCCAGCTGCATGATGCAGGTGAGTGTGGCAGAGATGCCAGCTTGCAGTTCTGCAAGTCCCTAACAGACCTCAAAACTGTTTGATCCATATGTGCACCAGCAATCAACCAAAAATCAGCAAATTCCACCTTTTCCTAAATCTTCTTAACAGACCTCAAAACTGTTTGATCCATATGTGCACCAGCAATTGACCGAAAATCAGCGAATTCCACCTTTTCCTAAATCTTCCTCGAATACAAGAAGCTCTATCCAAATGGAATAGATGAGATCAGAAACTCATATAGGTGCATAGTCCTGTTGACTGTGACCAATACCCATCCAAGATATGTGCCTATTTTGCAATACTTTGTGAAATATGTAGATAGAATTCAGAGTTGCAAAAAATACAAAGCACTTCAACTTATTTGACTTTGTGTGTGGAGGTTGTGGGCCAGGTCAGACTGTTGGTCAGCCAATTTTTTGCATTGTAGTGTTGTGAAGAAGTGTGAATTACAGGCATGAGTGTACCTCTACCTGCAAAACTCTTGAAAACATGATATTCTGATGCTGCATGTGTGTGTGCATGTGCATGTTTGTGTGTGAAAGGGTGCAGTCACTCATGTTTAAGTGTCTTCTTGTTCCAAGAAGGCATGTACATCATTTTCATTGTAATTAGTGCGAGAATGACCACATGTTTCTGGATGTTCTAAGTGCACAGTGCTCTACATTTATTATATCAAGAGCCTATCTCCGTGCAATGCATACACTCATGAATAGCGGGTCTTCCAATGCGTTGGTAACATCCTACTGTAAGGACACTCCCTCAGAGGTGTAGTGGCATGCCATCTGTATTTGTTGTTACCTATGAGATAACGATTGGCAAAGATAACCCTGATGCCCGCGATCACTACGCCCGTATCTCGTGATATGAGGCGTACGACTGGTCATTCGATCAATTCTCGGTGAACAGTCTGATGAAAGAATGCCAGCTGAGAACATGATAACGGAATTTCCGAATTCAGTTGCACCGCACCCACATGGCCTTGTGAAAAGTTGCATGCAAGTATTATTTTCTGTTGCTTAGTTAATGCTTCATTATTATTAATGGTATCATTTTGTTATGAGATGTCACACATGTCAGATAATTACTACGCATTTCTTAATCTCAGTGTTTGTAATGAGTATTACTTGGGCACAAGCAACTTATAGCTCAACCACAGACTACTTCCACTGTGACTGACTGTATGTTATTTGGTATTTTGATCAGCTTGAGATTTACTGGCCACTGATCGCCACATTTGCGTTTCTCAGTGGAGACATTGGCTGAGTTAATGAAGAGGATGAAGGAGCTACAGAAGATCCTGATGCTCAGCGAGAAGGCCGGCGCCTCCGTGTCGTCCGGCACCGAACTCTTCCTTCGTTTCATCACGTTGGCTTCGTTAGAATACCCGGTATGTTTTGCTTGACACCACTGAGCTAGCACTGAAATACTGACCGACTGACAGGCAGAACTACAGACTTAGGCTTGACTGAAACACTGCAGTCAGCCACTTGCCAACATGTTTACGACAGTTCTGGGGCATGTTTCTTCCTGTCGGCAGAGACGCTCTGTGCTGAACTCGATACCGCCATCTGACGTATTTAAGGTAAAAATAACGTTAATTTTTGCAACACTAACCGGTGGATCTTAGAGAACGTCATCGGCTGAACTACGTATTCTTGACCTTGTGCTTTAACACTTTTTTAAGGATTCCTCCCTGTGTTACCCTATCCAGTATACGTATTGGGGCATGAGAGCCGTAGACATGCAGTTTGGAACCTTTGCCCTCCATCCCTTAAAGGTGCCGTTTTCTTTCTTTCTATTTCTTCAAGTGCCGAGACTCGCGACAGGCATGCACGTGAGGTCAAGTGGGGCACGGACGGTGCCGCGTAGTGTGGGCTGCGACAGGATTTCGTGGCTCGTGTGACGTGAAACAGAGGACCTCGGCCCAGTGTTGGGAGGAGGCCTAATCCAGAGTTGCACTGGCAAGTGCTAGTTCATATAGGGGGACAGGCAGAAGTCGACAAGGGCAGGGGGTAGCTACAGGAGTCGGGCCAGCACCGACTTCGCGTCAACTCAGGAAGCAGAGGCCTCGTCGCAGTCTGTGGTGACTGCTTGGTGCCCCTGCTTGGGGCGGTGTCTGCTGGCGGCGCGGCGGCGCGATCTCACGCGTGTCTGCTGCGTGCCGCAGGAGCTGCGTGAGAGCCGACGCATTATGATTGAGCGAGGAAAGGCCTTCCTGCGCATGAACGCCGGGGCGCGCGAGAAGATTGCCCGTGTCTGTGGGCCCTTCATCATGGACGACATGACCCTGCTGACCCACTCCAGGTCAGTAATGCTCGTACAATGTGGAGGACGGAGTGCCATCGTTGAGGCTGTCGGACAGCCCCTCTGCAATGAATGCATGGTATGAGTCACCACTGTAGGCTGGGACGCGCACCCAGATTAGCCAAAGCATGAAATCAAGGAAATGTTTTGGTGGAGCATAATAGATGTTGAAACCTACACAGCATTTGCTTACTTTCAAATATATTGACAGCATCGTTGCGCGGACTGGTTACCATTCAGAGAGGTAATGCTCGGGTGGTCCTGGCCATTTCGCCACAATGCAGTGCGGCTGAGCTTTGGGAATACTGATGATGTGTGATAAGATGATGATGCTGAGATGATGCTTAGATGGCAATAACGATGCGTAATTTATGCCATGTACTAAGGTGTTTTTCGACGGTGGTTCCGCTGGGTTCTGATGAAATAAATAACTCACCTGTACCGTAATAAGGTATTATTTTGAGCTCCCCTAACGTGTCCGCAAGAGGCGCATTGGTCGCACCGCCTGAGGTGGAGCGCTGACAGCAGCAGCGTCCTGAAGGTCCGCCACAGTGGAGCCCACAGCGTCAGTCGGTAGCCCAACTTAAACTGGAACTCCACATGAAGGTGGAATACTTCCCCGACTGCGCCTTTTTATCCTGACAAAGGTCATTGGTTTATAAATTCTACTGGGCAAGTCTATTGCTCGCAGTTGGCAAGACAAACTTAACTGTTTTGGACAAAATGTGTTACGATAGCGATGATCCGGTCATCAGACGGTGTAAACACGCGAAAAAAAATTCTGAAGATCTGAGCTTTTCATGACGAGTTCCGAAAAAGAGATATCGCATAGTTGCATGTGCATAATCAAAATATGTGCATGTAAAGTCAAGCTTCAACATTAAAGGTGACTGTCTCAGTAAACTACAACGTAGTTACTGTTGCACGCTGTGAAGCGGGTGTGCTGCATCCAGTTCTGGTTTGATGTTCACTGGACAATCCGTTTTCAGATCTCGTGCCGTCAGGGACGCCTTGATAGAAGCCAAGAAGAACGGCAAAAACTTCCGCGTTTTTGTCACGGAGAGCTGTCCTGACCACAGCGGGTAGGTGCCACTGGTTATTTCGTTCAGTATTACCTCCGAAATTACTCTGACTTAGTGCTGTGATAGTCAGCGACCATTCGCTGTCCATTGTGATTTGTTACAGCTTGGTTGAGTATCAAAATTTAATGTGTTGTTTTGTTCGCGTAGTCGTGGTGGCTCCACGTCTGTCAATTTGAGTGACCGAGTACAGACAATTCCGCTGGCGGGCAGTCGGTCTATTACGTATGCATAAGGTGACCAACGGCCGGAGATGTGCTGAAAGCGAGGTAGCACTCGCTTAAACAGCCAGCCGCATCATGTTGCTAGGAGTTCTGTGACACGTACACATTGCACAACAGCTGTACTGTTTCCTCTTTATTTGCGTTGCAATTTTGTTTTATGGAATACGTAAACGAGCTAAGGCTGGGATGGAGGTTTCAGAGGGGGCGTTGTGGATGAGTGGCTAGCGCATTCGGCTCGCAGTTGGGGCCCCGGGTTCGAATCCCGGTTGCGCCATGGCCACTGAGCGCTAGGGTGGTCACTGCAGTCGCTGGCGCGCCGTGAGCGGGTGCGCGACGGACGTCAGCAACTCCAGTGGCCATCTTGGCGCTCAGAGGTCATGGCGCAACTAGGATTAGCCCCCATCGCCCCTTTCCACGTGGTAGACGAAAGCGTCAACCGCGTTCCCTTTTTTATGAATAGAGATGTCAGCAACGGGAACAGAGTTATGACGAAGTGATCGGACCAAAAATGAATTGCATACATTGATGTTGAACACGCACGGTTTGGGAAGGGGCGAAATCCGTCCCCTCCCTCCAGGTATAATTGAATATCTCCGGAATGCATGCGCAGATCTGTCCATTTATCTGCGAATTAAACCCTAGTGCGTCGTTTAAAGCAAAGAAGACCGAAATCGACCGGAAAATTGTGAAGCTCCAGGCTGACAAAATGGAGAACGTAGCCGGTGTCCGAGCGTGAGAACACGCACCGCCGGTATATCAGCAGCAGTGGAATGTTCCGGACAACGCTAGTAAATTTTGTGCGCATGCTGCTATACCTTACGATGCAACGGTCTTGCTGGATCACCGAGGTTAATTCAGATTGAGTTCATAAGGGGTCAATGGGATCAATCCAAATCAGCCGTATGGTGCCTACAAGCACCAAAAGCGATCTGGGAATTGTGCCATTTTGCTAAGTTGTTCCGCGACGTACTGACATCTCTTGCCCTTTGCTCTTATGAAGCAAAGGCTTTGTATGTTCAATCGTCTACTGTTGGCGCACTTCCGCTCTTTCTTCAGGAAGTCGATTGTCCCCGCCCGCCCGCCCGCCCGCCCGCCCGCGCGGCCGGTCAGCCAATCATCCGACCGACCGCGCACTCTGGAGCGGGGGCGAGGCCAGATGCTATGGTTGTATTGTATTGTGTATCATGTCAACAGCGTAACTTGGCTTCATTTTATGCACACTTAAACAAAATCGCAGCGATTCACGAGGATGACAAGCCAAGCTATGCAAAGTATTCCAAATTTGGCACGTTTGACTTATTTGCCCCTGATGGCATTGACTCAAGCTTATGATTTTTCACACAACCTAGTTCCCTACGGTTCTTGTAGTTCCAGTTCTTGGAGGATAGCAGCGAGATTCGCCCCTGCCTCCGCTGTGCGTAATTTTCAGAGGCCCTCCCTTGTGCGTGTGAATCTCTAGAAACAAAACTACAGAAACATAGCACAAAGAGCAAACAAAGATAAAGGTTCCGAGCATTAATGATGGGCGCCGCGTCGCGTGTCCGCCATCCAGCTCTGTGTGTGGGTGTGGTTCCGCACACAGCCTTTGTTATCGCATTGCACAATGCGCGTCACGTGTCGCGCGGCAGGAAGAGCCCCGACCGGAACTAGTGCATCATCCAGCCGGTGTCAGCCGGTCAGCCCGCGACGTTCTGTTCTGCCTGGTCATCGCTGAGCCGAGCATCAGTGTTCTTGTGGCCGCGTGCAACAAAGGGGAATTTCGCGCGGGGTGATTTGCATTCTAGGCTTTTCGGTTGACCTTGGGTCAATGGGCCTGAAAACTAGCCCCAGCCTTAGACGCATTTGCCGGTTCCGATTCTACCTGTGAAATCATCGACAGAAATGAAGCGATGAAAGTCATCGCCGATTTCTCCAGTGCGCTTAGGTAGCGACAGTCCCCGATTTCTCTGCTCCGCAAAGGTAGCGGCAGCTTATCGCCGCCATCGGTCCGAAGTCTCTGTGCCGGGCGCGGCTGCATGTCAATCGCATGCACGATGTGCATGTTGGTGCATGCATTGGTGGTCGCGTGAATTTCCACGAAAAAGGTGGACGTGTGCTCGCTGAACGTTTTTCAAGATGGATGCTTCCAGATTCAGACAGATGATTCAGATGAATAAGTCCAGATTTCAGACAAATATTGAACATTCTGAATGATGGTTGGTTACGCCAGCCGAAGGCAGTGTGAAGTGTTGGCGGCGGTACCTGCCGTTGACTCGTAGGTGAGATTGGAGGTCCACTTATGAAGCCAGATGAAGATCAGTATCACTAGCCAGATGAAACTTGATGTTAACGCTCCAAGGAACGCTCTCCGTCCGTGTTGTGGTGTTCTGGGGCCCCAGCCGCTGGTGTAGATACAGGTTGACCGGGCGGTCGGCTGCCTTTGAGCTGTTCCCAGACTTGCGTCACTCCGGGTGGGGTGCCGCAGTGTGGCGGTGCAGAGGCACACGTGTCTGGTTGGAAACAACCGGCTCGTGGCAAAACCAGGGCTGTGACGACACTGCTGCTTGCCGGGAACGGGAGCTCCGCTGGAATACAGCGACCTTTGCAGCTTGCGTCATCACCGCGACGCACTGTTTGGCCTGCTGGCTGATCGTGACGTCATACTTGTAGCGTGTGCAACAGGTGGTACCTTTCTGTAGCGAGCCACAAACGTGCAACACGGCCGCGCTGATCTGGAACTCAGCTGGTGCAGCCGAGGTCTAATGAGAAACACTACAGTGCCTTTACCCCCGGACTTCCCGCGGTGTAGGCGGAATACAGCGCACCAGTCAGTGAGGCCCATAGCAGCTCCAGGTCTCCGGACTTCTTCTGGGGGCTCCCGGCGCTCATGAAGTGGGTGCAGAGCAGTTCATCGCGCACCGAGACTGCTCGGCGCTGATCCTCGCCCCCCCCCCCCCCCCCCCCCCTCCATGCCTGCAGGGATTAAACCGCGCGGCTCTGTCTGCGGGAGGCGTGCAGTGTTTCCCAGACGCGCCAGACCGCAGCTGAGGCCTGCGTTATTCCGGCTGTGCCCCAGCTGGCTGGCTGGTCGAGGGCAGGCGCTGTCACACATCGCACAGATGTGCCACTGCTTTGGCAACTTCCGAGCCGTCACAAGGCTGCTGAAGTGACGGCATCTGACGCGTATACCGTGACACGCGGGTTGTTGCTGCTGCTCACAACCGGTTTGTTTTTGTAGTTGGGTGCTCCATGCGCGAAGAAGGAAATTTTGGCGGTATCTGACTTACCCGGCCGTGATTCACGCCACAACGTAATTAATCAAAATGATCAGGTCTGGCGAAAGCGTATTTCAGCTAAGCATCTCCTGATTTAGATTTGTTCGTTTTTCCAACTATTCGCCCTGCGCTGCAGTCTGTGTGGGTGTGAATTTTTCCCTTTGATATGGCAACATGAGACCTCTCACGAACACTGCGTGCCAGCACTGCGGCAGTGTTGTGGGTCACGGCATGTCGCCACGGCAACACAGGAGAGCGTGTGCAGTGGGTTTGCGGCCGTGCATAGGATTGTCGACTCAGGATGTTGCCAAAAATAGCGCGCATGTCTGAACCCTCGAAGTCACCGGCTCCCATCGTGTGGACGTCCGCCAGCTGGGACGCACTGTTCGGGACTCATTACTGTCACACCGTTACCCGCTCGAAGTCAGGTAGCTGTTGGCCGCACAGTATTCAGCCACACGCACTCGACAAGTGGCATGTCAGTGGTGGACCATGGCGATGTGACGACACGGAAAAGAACGATTACCGGACGTCCCGGGTTTGTGTTCCAGCCTTGAATGTAGATAATGCTGTGCAGGCGCTCCCGCTGGTTGGTTGCCGTGGGGAAGGGGGATGGGTTGAAGGACGTCTATTGGGTTTTCCGACTGCGGAAACTGTGACTGTTGAGACATTTTAGCAACCGTCCTGAGCTTAAGTGAAGGTTTCCAAGCATTATTTGTCGCGTCATTAGACTACGGTTAGCTGATCACGCAGTGCCGGGTCCAGCGGGATCTTAGAAGGCGTGCTCGAAAAAATGCCGACATGCTTTTTTTTTAGCTAGGAATGGATGGAGATAGATTGCATTTTCAATGTAGGGGCTGTTACGAAGCATTTCGTTTAGGTGATACTCGGCGAAACATCATATGAAGCATAGTCAAAGCATTAAGAAGCGGATCCAGGGAATGGAAGGGGGGTAAGTAACTCTGCCTGGAAGGGTGTGGTGTAACTCTGCCTGAGTTACATCACATCAAAATCGCAAATGTGCAGATCGGACTGAAGGTATCCACGCTTTGGGAACGTTGCTCGACTCGAAAGAAAACCTGAACGAAAAAGCACTCATTTATATTGCTTAAACAAAAACGTGGGATTAAACAGTTGGCAACGCTGGTGAATTGAGATTGCATTAGCCCACAAATATGTGACGTTTAGAATATACCAGAATATACCAACAAAAATCATGTTGTGGCATGACAACCTGTACATTATGTTCGGAATTACGAAATGGGTTAATTGAGAGGACGTGTTTATGGCGAATGACATTCCGTTTTATTCTTGCGGATGCCGCCCTTGCGCCAAAAAAAAATGTATGCTTTAGTCGTAGAACGGTATTCAAAGCCATGATGGTGCATTTGATGCCCTTTCCAAGCCGATTTGTTGAATGCGTTGAGAGATATCGGCCTTCCGGTTTGGGAGATATAAGTGGTCTCGGGCCAGTCCTCCCTCCCCTCCCCTCCGCTCCCCTCCCCCCCCCCTTTCAAATTTCCGGACCCCTGGAAACTGCAGAGGAGACATAGTGGGATTCAGCACGAACGTCACCAAGCTTTATATGCGCATAGGGGCGCGACCAATCTCGGCAAAGGAGGTAGGGGGGGGGGGGGGTCATAGGGTTGACAAATGGTCTCCCGATCATGAAAGTCCACTCTCCCCCCCCCCAAAAAAAATGCCAGATGTGTGCACTTGATTTTGAGGTTGGCATATGCCTGAAACCAAAAATAGATCCTGCGATCCCATTAACATGGAAGTGTATGGGAGCCCGTATCCTTCCTTGGCGCCCAGACACATGTCTCTTTCAGCGGGCGCGATTTTCACTTTTTATATATTCTGTCTTGTTATCTTGATTTTATTTTTACCTCGTTTAACTGGAACGGAAGCCAGAAACTACTAGAAGATGCAGTTGTATTTTGACGTCAATAAAGCGATGAAGTTGAGCGTTCATTGGCTGCTTGGAATATGCCGATGACACCCAGGGGCATTGACAAGGTTTCTGGGTTTTGCATAGATATTGAGAACCATGTAAACATAGATTGACGGCTGAACTGAGTCGAAGTGGCATTAGCATAGCCAGCATATGTTCCATGGAAAACGTTCAGCCTTCGTATAGAATCGAATAGTGAAACAAATTATGTAACAGCTTGAACATGCGCGCTCGCAAACCTTCGAATCAAAGACCCCATGGCCGGCGTTGCAGTCTCCACAGGCCGTGCGGCGTTGATCCCCGGCAAGCATAAGGCGATGGCCTGTCCGTTAATGTATTTTAATATTGATGATTGACACGGACAAGCATTTGCAGCACCGCGAACCGCGGCGGGAATGTGGTGTTGAACCTGGAATAGTGAACTTAGAATCCCTGTTTTGGAGTTTTGTTGGAACTGTTAACTTGTTTGGAGGGCAACCTCAGAATGATGCAGGTGAAATACACGCTCGTCCAATGTTTGGTAAGGTAAGAATTGACGGATCGCTGCAGATGCCGTCATTGACGCGGCAGGTCCGGTACCGTCGCCGGGTCCCATAACTGGCACAGATACTCCAGTTTGGCTCAACGGGCTCCGGGTGAATTGAGTTTGAGGGCTTCCCATTCCGAATGTGGGCCCCTGAGTGGCAACAGACCCCTCCCAATGCCTCACTGTCGGGATATTTGTGGTGTAATGGTTAGTCTAAGCGTCCGGGAAGTCAGAGGTACAGGGTTCGATTGCTCGCGGTGCTCACCATTCCCAGGATGAGAAGCAGGTGACGCCATATAGCCTCAGCAATTGAATGTATCGAAAGTTTCCCGGAGGTCCCGAAAAAGTCAGTCCTGGGTCCCCTCGGGCCCTGGCCGACTCGGGGCCTCTTGCCAACACGAGCCATCTTAGGCACTGACTGGCAGGGCCTCTCATTGGTTCAGAGGCCTAAGCAATATAAATCACGGACTCCGTCTGTGCCCCTGCTTGGCAAATGGGCAAGACCGTCACGGAGCCGACTGTTCGGTGTTGGTGGTGTCTGACCGACATAGAGGCCCTCATCGACACAGTGGCCCGCGATCGGCGTAAAGAGCCCTCTGGCTAGCATTTAAGGGCGCAGCTCTGCGAGCAGGGGCCCATTATTTAGACCAATGTTCACTGACATTGGTCCTGTTAAAGCGTATTACCGGTTATTAAGAGCCCTATTGAGGGGCCCAAATACAGCACTGCGGTGTTTTTGGGCCCCTTAATAGGCCTCTTAATCGTCTTTCCCGAGATTTAAGGGGGGCTGGAGTATATGCTCCAGGCGTCCCTTCCCCCTGCATGCGTCACTGTTTGCACACCACTTCTGTGATGACAAGAGCCTTCTTCGAGAACAGAACAGAAAACATCGGATAATGACTGGATGTTTGCTCCGTGCGGAAGATGTGTTACATTGCGAGAACACGGATACGAACCCGGTACTTTTTCCGAAACAGATATGTTCTAAACGATTATGCCTTCAGCAAGAGCTGTTGAGCTAAATGTATCGACAATTACCTGCAGCTGTCATGTGTCTGTCGTTGTGCTCCAGCTCCGGTGTCTGTTGGATTACCTGCAACTGTCGTATGTCTGTCGGTGTGCTCCAGCTCCGGTGTCTGTTGGATTACCTGCAACTGTCGTATATCTGCCGGTGTGCTCCAGCTCTGGCGTCTGTCGGATTACATGCAGCTGCCGTGTGTCTGTCGGTGTGCTCCAGCTCCAGTGTATGTCGGATTTGTGCAGCTGCCGTGTGTCTGTCGGTGTGCTCCAGCTCCGGTGTATGTCGGATTGGCTGCAGCTGAAGTGTGTCTATCGCTGTGCTCCAGCCCTAGGGTATGTCGGATGAGCTGTAGCTGCCGTGTGTCTGTCGGCTTGCTCCAGCTCCAGTGTGTGTCGGATTTGCTGCAGCTGCAGTGTGTCTGTCGCTGTGCTCCAGCTCCAGTGTATGTCGGATTTGTGCAGCTGCCGTGTGTCTGTCGGTGTGCTCCAGCTCCGGTGTATGTCGGATTGGCTGCAGCTGCCGTGCGTCTGTCGGTGTGCACCAGCTCCAGTGTGTGTCGGATTGGCTGCAGCTGCAGTGTGTCCATCGCTGTGCTCCAGCCCCAGTGTATGTCGGATGAGCTGTAGTTGCCGTGTGTCTGTCGCTGTGCTCCAGCTCCAGTGTATGTCGGATTTGTGCAGCTGCCGTATGTCCGTCGGAGTGCTCCAGCTCCAGTGTGCGTCGGATTTTCTGCAGCTGCAGTGTGTCTGTCGCTGTGCTCCAGCTCCAGTGTATGTCGGATGAGCTGTAGCTGCCGTGTGTCTGTCGGCCAGCGAGAAGCTACAGAAGGAGCTCAGCAGGGCCGGCATCAGTTGCACGCTGGTGCTGGACGCGGCCGTCGCCTACGTCATGGAGAGGGTCGACTGCGTGCTGGTGGGCGCCGAGGGCGTGGTTGAGAACGGCGGCATCATCAACAAGATCGGCAACCTGAACGTGGCCATGTGCGCACACGCCTTCAAGCGGCCGCTGTATGTGCTGGCAGAGTGCATCAAGTTCGTTCGCCTTTACCCGCTCAGCCAGCAGGAGGTGCCCAACGACTTCAAGGTAAGGGAGCGGGGGGGGGGGGGGGGCGATGGGTGACACCAGTGGCGGGAGGAACGCGGGTCGTGTTAGCGCGTCGACGCTCGTGGCCGCGGTTGTGACACGCCGCTTGCGGTAGTCCCAGTAAAAATACGAGGGTGTTCTCGGGACGCGCGTTTCGCCGAGCTGGCTGCCGCTGAGTGTTTGCAGTCGAGCCGGGGTGCCCCTCTGGTCGGTGGGCCGGCTGGTGTTTGTCACACTCGTGCAGGCTGGCGTTTGTTTAGCCCATGGGCTGCAGGCGGGCGGCGGGCACGTGTGCTCGACGATTGCGCTGGACGCCGTGTTCAATAAACATCGGCCGGCTGCAACGACGCCATGGCGAGTCTTATGCAGTGACACTGCGCAAATGTGTGGCGTGGAGCGTATCGGTTCGCCGCTGATGCCGGACTTGTTATTGGCACGAGTGGCGAGCACGTCGAGGCTTGGGCATGGCTTCAATGCGGTAATTCCGGGTGTGGTTTCCGACGCGGCGTGGTGACAAGGATACGGCGATGAGTGTAAATGCAGCCATCCCTGCCAGCGTTGACATCGTTGCATGTCGGTGGATACGTCAGTCTTAACCACAAATTTCAAGACCTTGTGAAAAAATGGCCTTTTTAATGAAACCCTTTTAATAGATGTCTACTCCGAAATGCCGGTGTGGTCCTCCCAGCGATCACCATCGACTACCGCGCTGCGTGACAAAGCGCCTGCCGAGAGCGCGTCTGTAGCCGGGGCATCGGCGCCGGCCGCCGCCGCCCGACACTGCACGACTGCTGCACGGGCTCGAGAGGCACCGCGAGGTCACCGACACAGGTCGTCGACACCGCTGCCTGACGCGCGCCCTGTGCCGGCAGTACTCGGCCTCACGCCGCACGGCGCCGCACCGGCCGGACGACGCCTCGCAGCCGACCCACCCGCTGGTCGACTACACGCCGCCGCGCTACATCACGCTGCTCTTCACAGACCTGGGCGTTCTGACGCCGGCTGCCGTCTCCGAACAGCTCATTCAGCTGTACATGTGAGCCGGCCGCACCGCCGGACGACCGGCTCACCGGGCGGGCCGTGCGGACCGGCGGCTCCGACTGTTGTGCGCGCTGCACGCGGTTCGCCAGATAGCCCCAACAGCTATGGCTTCATGGGATCGCTGGTGGTGTTACTGTGGAGAGTGCGGGGGCGTTCGTTGATCGCCTTTGAGAACAATGCCCGGTTGAAGACGCAAATGCGTGGGTTACAGTGATAGGTTTTTACGTATTTGTGGTGTATGTGTACACTGTGAATAAAACGCAAAGATAGTATTGTTCTCGAGCATTTATTCGCCAATACACTTCGCCCAGTACGTGATATGTATGCGCCCTGGGATCCGCGCGAGTGAATCCTCAGTCGAACCTAGAGAACGGTCAATAAAAACGTGGAACGCTCGTCAAGGCACAGCATCGCATCGCGCTTCCTTCTACACTTGCCCTGCCGTTGGCTCCCGGCAGCCTGCAAAGCCGACTTCGGCTCCCATATCACAGCGAGTCCCAACCACGCTCGCCCCCCGCCTCTGCGGGGCGCGTGTCCGGCCGGCTCCTGAGGCCGGCTCCTGAGGCCGGCTCCTGACGTCCTACAGGGTCAGGCCGGCCAAAGCCGCCTGCTCACGGATCCAGGGCACCTGCTGTGCGACATCGGCGTATACGCCCGGCACGCCTTCCAGGCCACAGCCGATGCCCCACGACACGACGCCCAGCTGGATGTAGCGGCTGGGGTCAAGAGGATCACGACAGGCCAACGGCGAGCCGCCGTCACCGGTACACGTGTCCTGGCCGCCCACACCGCCGGCGCACGTGAACGAGCGGTCCAGCGCGAAGTACTTTCTCAGCCGGGTCTTACGCAGCGCAGCTTGGCAGGGGGCGTGCGGCACGAGCGGCAGCTCGATCCCCTTCAGTATGGTCTGGAACTGGCCGGCCACGAAGGCATCCTTGCCCCAACCGGTGGCGATGCACTCGGCCTGGTCATATACGACATCCGGGTCGGGCAGGCACAGCGTGTCGATATGCTCCTGCAGCTCGACGGGCTCCTCAAGAAAGAGCAGCGCCACGTCGTCACTGAGGCGCCGCCGCTGGAAATCCTCGTGCGCCACGAAACGTGCCACGTCCACGTCCACGTGTCGGAAGCGCTCGCTCTCCTGCTGCGTGTCCCACTCGCCGAGGCGCACGCGCAGGCGTGCTGTCGCGTTCAGGCTGTGCACACAGTGAGCGGCGGTCATCACCACCTGCGGGTGAATCAGCGAGCCGCCGCACTCGAAGAAGTTGCGCTCCTCACCGCCCACCTCCTCCACGCGCAGCACGGCCGCCATCCAGGGAATCTCGCCAAACTGCGTCTCGTTGTCTTTGAAGCCGACGATGCGTGCACCGACGCCGAGCTGGTTGCGGCGGCCGCACTGCGGCACATAAGGCTCAGAGATTTGGGGGTCATCCGTCGGCCGTGTGCAGCAGACATCGCCGAAGCGCGGGCACTCCGAGTGCGTGATAAATTCAAAGTCTTCCTCGAACTGTTGCTTGCCGATGCGCACGTCGAACTCGCCGAGTCCATCGCTGAGGATGTTCTCCTCGTCGCAGCGGAAGTAGGGCGTGCAGACGTGCTGGCCGCGCTCGCAGCGCACCACCTCCTCAGGTAGCTGGGAGTTGCCAAGCAGGTCGGCGATGAACTTGTCGTCGTCCGCGGGACTGGCGCTGGTGTCGCCGAGCAGGGAGCCGAGGAACGCGTCGTCCTCATTCTGCGGTCGGGCGAGAGCGCCGCCATGCGACAGCAGCACCCCGACTACCGCCATCAGCAGAGGCCTCATCTGAGGAGAGTGACGCGGGGCTTAGCGACGGCATTTGACGTCTGTACAGCGGGGCATTTAAGTCCGGTGCCGGCGGCCAAGCACTGACCGTGTCAGCCCACTGCAAAGTAAATGGGGACACCAAATATTTTCGAGAGCTACGTTTGCAAAAACTAGCACAACCCGACAAGCCACTCCTCGTTTCACTCTCCCCTTTTTGTGCGATATCAAACCAAACGCACGGTGGAACGTTGAACGTTAAAATCGGTCCCATGACTGCCAGCTCGGACGACGCCTCGCGCTCACCGCCGCCGGTCGCTGTCAAATTGGACGGGCAGGAGGCGCACTCACCTTGACTGTGCAGCGTGGACTGACGCTTGTATCAACGCCCAGCGCTGTGCGGTCGCTCCCTGCACTGTAACGGCTCTCCTGCCTGCTCCGGTTGCTGCCCGACTACCGCTCGCCGACAGCGGGAACGTGCTATAAACGCTCGGCCAGACGGCGCAGATGACGTACTTTCCAGTCGGCCGTGACGTCACATTCCTGGGAGGAGAGCGAACTCCGCCGCCCCCGGGTGACGTCAAAGCGGGGCAAGAGGCTAGTCCCAGTCCAGACTTGCGTGGAGGGATTTTCCCTGCGCCCGGGAAAACAGGTTATCGTGGCTCGCGAGTCATGTTGCCGCACGGCCACTGCGAGAGCTTTGGATGCTCAAGACTTTAATTTACGAAAGGTCATGCGTAAAGGTGACTTAACATAGCTAGAAATGGAACACGCGCTTTCCACGCATGAGTGGCATGTCTGTGGCAGACCCAGAGTTTGATCAGGGGAAAGAGAGGAGGGGGGGGGGGGGGCGTGAGAGGAGGGCTTCGGCTTCTCTTGGGGGACGGTCTATGCATGGATAATGTAGCTTTATTGTCAGTCATTAAAAGTTGGGCAATCTGGGACTCATGCCCCTGCCCCCCCCCCCCCCCTCCCCCGCTCTCCAGTATCCAGCGCAGATTCACATAGATGGTGCCGCGCCTGTCATTTCAGGTGTCTACGGCATCGTGTGTCCGATAGCCACCTGTCCCCCGCTGCGGCACTCAGCGCCACGTAACTGAACCTGAGAGACCCCTCCCAATGTTAGCACGCCGCCCCCACAATATTTTTGCGTGGAATTTTACAACTCGAGCCGATCTCGCCCATCGAATTGGGTGGAGTGGAGGAGTTCTGGGGTTGGGGTGCGTGCGCTGCGCTGCTGCCGGGCCACCGCTGGGTGTTTTTGCGTCTGCGGCTGCCGCTGGCACGCCTCCCCACAAGAGGGGCGCTATACTCGAGCCAGATGATGTTAGCGCACGACTCGATACGTTGTGACTCAGGCACACCCGACATCAACACACCTGTAAGCCACAGAGCTGGGATGGAGCGGGAGATTGGGGCACTGGCGGGATGGCAGGTCCGGTTAGGCACTATGAACGGCTGTCTCCTCGTACGTGGCTGCGCGGCCTTAACCATGGTATCCCAACTCAGCCCTTTTAGCTCATGATAAATTTTAACGGGGCAAAAACGGAACCAGATACAATGATAAGACACCCAATCGGCAGGGGTCACACGCAACTGGCGAATCACACTGGCAAGGGCCGCTGGATAACGACCCTGGAATCCCCTCTCGGCCTAAACTAATCCACGAGGACTCCATGCATTCGACGGCTCACCACATTAACTCCAGGCACTCACATCCACTGGCACCCACCTCTTACGTCTAGCGTCTAACTCGGGGGGTTACGGCGTTGGTTCTGCTAAAAGATTGACGTTGATTGAGTTTGATTTTTTGTGGAAGGTGTTCTACCAAAAGGTTGAGAGGTCGTGCACTTGTGAAGGGTTGTTGTCGTGCATTGTTTTTTCCTGTTTCGTGTCGCCGTCTCTTCGAAAACGTCATGTACACGCGCAACCTTCAGCAACACAGCCAGGTCTTAAGCCTACACCCTATCAGCCTTAAGCCGCACTTTGTCGCCTTAAACACTCAATTCTAGCAAAAACACAAGCACCAAAAACACCAAACACCAAGCATGTCGCTCCAGTCCCCATCCCCATCGCGCCGCGATCCGGGACCCACCCCTCGCCGTGGAGCCCGCGCTCCCCGTCGCCCGAACTGCCGGACGGGCCACCGTTTGTCCTAATAACAAATAGAGACTGACAGTTTTTGCCATGCTTAACCCGTTCGCGATCCACCGCGAAGTAAAGCACCACGGTGGAGAGGTGGAGGGGCCAAACCCATTCGCTCGGGGGCTCTCCTGATTAAAGTCCACGGCGCCCATCAGGCGTCCGTGCTCCTAAAGCTTAACCGCTTCCTGGTGCGAGACGTCGTAGTTGTGATGGCAGACCGCCTGAACAGTGTTCAGGCGGTCGTGTACGCCCCGGCCCTCGCCGAGATGTCTGAGGAGGACATTCTCGGTGAGTGTTAAGCTCAGGGCGTAACGAAGGTGGTGCGCCTGCCGTCGCGTCGCCCGGAGCTTGGGCCCATCCCCCTGCTCCGATTTTGTTTCCGGGGCACGGCCCTTCTGCCGCACCTCCTTTGCGGTTACATGCGGGTGCCTCTGCGCCCCTGGGTTCCCGCCCCACAGCAGTGCGCGCACTATCAGGCCTTCGGCCACAGCGCGCGCACCTGCCGCGTCCACCACCCCAAGTGCGGAGTATGTGCGGGCCGCCACTCGGCTCGCCAATGTGGGGCCCAGGAGCCGCGCTGCGCCATCTGCACTGCCCCCCACCCGGCATGGGACCGACGCGCCTGCCCGGCGTGGCTCGAGCTCCGGGCCCAACTTAGGCAAAAGCAAAAAAGCAGCGCTCCCTCCTCGCTCCCTCCTCCTCCTCGCGCTCCCCCCTCGAGACTGGGGCCTGGCCCACGCCGGCGAAGACGCACGCCCGACCCGCCCCCTTTCGGGGTGGAGCGGAGAGCGGGGGTCTGGTCCCGCTCAACGGCTACCCACTGAGTGGCGCTCCATGGTCCGCACCCTGGCCAGCCAGACCTGGTCCCCGGCCCCTGAGGTTCGGTCCCCGGCACACCACACCCGGACCCCGGCCCCTGAGGCTTGTCCCCCGGCCTCTCAGGCCAGGCCTGTCGTCCCTCAGACCCCCCTGACACCCTCTCAGAGCTCATGGCCGATCAGCGGCTCTCGCCGTGCGCGACCAAGAGCCGCGTCCGAGCCGGGGTCCCCTACGACTGGCTCCCCCGGACCAGCCTGGGAGCAGACCCATCAGGGTCTAGTCAGACGACTTCCCTGTCCCCTGAGAGAGGAGCACCACCCCGCCCACCATCAAGGAAGCCCTCCCTCTACCCCGCTCCCTCCAAACGGACCCGCAACGGGACTGTTAAAATGCGCTCCCGCTCCGCTGCACGGGCAGCAAGACGTCCTCGCTCCCCTCCCCATAAATAACCTCCCCATTCAATGAACTCGTACTCCAATGGAATACCAGATCCTCAATATCCTTTTGGAGCGAATTCAAAGAACATATCGTCAAACATACACCTACACACATACAACACCGAGGGGCAACCGTCAGTTACTCTGTGATTGACCTGGCTCTCTCAACATTACCCATCGCGCCACACTTAACTCACAACATACAAACATATCCGCTGTTCAGCGACCATTGCCCAACCCCCCTGTCCCCCCTGTCCCTCCTGTCCCCCCCCCCCCCTGTATTAATTATTAGGAGTCACAAGTCCCCTCAGGACAGGTGGGTTTATATTTCCTCCCTTGATGGAACCTCCGCAAAGCAGACTGGACCACCTTTCAAAAATATATTGACGAGGCTCACTGAATCACAATCCCTGTCCCAAATCACAATCCCCAATCAATCACACCCCCCTGAATCGACCCCCAATCTTATTGATTTTTTGAAGCATTTTGGCCTCAGCACACCAGTCTGTTTAACACACTTATCGTCGACCCAGGGGCAAACACGCGCCCTGGTGGAGCAATAAGTGTCAGCGCGCAGTGGCCCTGCGACGCCGGGCCGTGCGTGCTTTTCGCAATTGTATTTGCGCAGCCCTCAAGGAGGAAGCTCGCAGGCCTCGACACCAAGCTAACGTGATAATAAACAAGCAAAAAAGGAAAGCTGTGAAAATTGCGCTACTACTTTTAACCAATTCACCTTCATGTCAAAAATATGATCGCTAATACGGAGCTCCACCAATAAAAGCACATACCACTACAAAATCCCACACCTCATGGTCAACAGCCAGCACTATGAGGTGCCATTTAAGGTCGCCATACAATTTGCACTACACTACGCCCGCGTTTTATCATCCGATCAATGCTCCCAACAGCTCACGAATTCGGTCAACATCACACTCCATGCGCTCAACTTTACTACTGACAACACCGAACACTATAACGCACTCCTCACGCCGTACGAACTGAGGCTGGCCCTTAGCAAGTGCGGCAACAACTCGGTCGGTCCAGACCAGATCGTTTACGCTTTTTCAGAAAACTGTCTGTGTCTGGATTGCTATATCTTCTTTCTGCCTTTAACTATACTTTGATTAATGAAACGTTCCCTGATACTTGGCTCTCTAGAACTCTTATCTCGATACTAAAACCTCGCAAGCCTCATTCGGACCCTTCGAGCTATCGCCCTATCTTTCTGCCAAGCTGTGCTCGAAATTGTTTTAAAGAATGGTCACCGCCCAAATCAGGGCCTACTTGGAGCGCCACAATCTTATCTCCCCGTACCAAAACGGCTTCCGCCCTGGCCGCTCCACGGCAGACAGCCTCGTCCAACTTGCTGATTCAGTCCAACGTGGTTTTCAACAATAAATGGTTACGGTTACACTATTTCTGGATCTTAAAGCCGCATTTGATAAAGTACATAAGACTGCCCTTCTGATTAAACTGCACAGGAGAGAATTCCGTGGCCGACTCGCCAAATTTTTGCAAAATTTCTTAGCAGATCGAACGATTGCCGCTCGCTGCGGGAACACGATGTCAGCGCCTGCGAAACAGGACCACAGTCTGCCCCAAGGCAGCGTGGTCTCGCCGACGCCCTTTTCAATTATTATCGACGACGTTTTTAATTGTTTGTATGAAATTTCGCCACATCTGAATTATTCTCTTTTCGCCGACGACCTGGCGGTGGGGTTTACCCAACCCAGTGTCGATCGAGCAAATTACTTTGTACAACTTGCTCTAAATCTTGCTCACATCCACCAATGCTGTGACCGATGGAGTCTCGAAATCTCACTGCTAACATCAGCAGCACTTATTTTTTGAAAGCACGTAATTATTGCGCCTCGAGCCCCTTTGAACCTGCATGGTCAACTTATCCCACCTGTCACCCAGTTTAAGTATCTCTGTATCATCCTGGATCGCCGGCTTACTTGCTCGCCCCATTTTGCCGACCTAAAACAGCGCTGCACCCGACGACTTAATAGCTTAAAACGTCTTGCCGGACGGGAGTGGGGAGCCGCTAGGCGCACCCTGCT